GGCTGGCTGGGATGCTGCTGGGCAGCCCTAGCTGGCTGCCAGCCCAGCAGCCATATGACGGTTGTGAGGAAGCTTGTGGGGACCAATCAAGGGCCTTGGGGAGCAAGGCATATGGTCCCCTACCTAACCTTGGGCACTACTCCTTTGCACTACTCATAGTTTTGTTTGTCCGGATCTTGACTAACCTTCAAGACTTGGGACGCTCAGGTCGGGTCGAGGGTACGATCTGTCGGAGATCTTGTAGTTTCTGGATTTTAAAGTAAGAGCTATTCGGGAGCGAAGCACGCAACAAAGGTATAATTCTTATTCTTAGTCTTGCTTAATTATGTTTGTTATGCTTGTTAATTGCTTTAATTAAGGGGCGGGTCTTGGGGGGTTTCCTTCCGCGTAGTGTCGGGTTACTACGAAACCCTACACCCTTTTAGGGTTAAAATGTCACGTGTCAATAGAGGATTAGATCCCCTTGGGCCTCTCTGAGGCTGACACGTGTCAGCATGCTATTAGGCCATGTGGACAGGGTATTTTTACCCTAAACAGGTGGGATAATAATTCTTGAAGGTTAAGGTACGTATAGATGGCTAAACCTTTGATAAAGGTTTTTCTATATATGTATATGTTTGAATAATTATTTGTATGAATGTTTGAATAAATTGTTTTAAAGATTGTTTTTGAAATCATGTTTGAATTAAATTGAATTTATTTATGATTAAAGGAATTGAATTAAATTTGCAGCTCATTATAGGCTTAAGTATTTAATATTTCTTATCCTTTAACCAGGGATTGGTTAAATAATACCATGAACTTTGTATGATCTGGTCTTTACTTTAGTATAGTTTGACTTGCTTGGAGGGTGTGCACACTTAGGAGAGGAATTGATTTTTGGAAAGTTTCTATCTTTAAATATTCCTATCCTATATTTGGAAATTATAAAATTGGAAAGTCTAATTTTGAAAGTGATGAATTTTGGGAAAGTTATATTTCCGCATGTTTAAATTAATGTAACTATTTTGGAAGCATGTTTACCTAATAAAAGAATTTGACATGTCTTGAATTTATATGTACTTAGCGTTTTAGCTAACACGTAATCCTATTTGTTTTTGGTTTGCCCTGTTTACCAATTTTGGTAAGCAGTCGTGATTTCGGATGGAGTCTATGTGTTGCATCGTGCATCGGCAGTTCGGGATTCAATTCACCTAGTTTAGGGATGTTGGTTGTTTTTTATTTTTATATTGACTACTCATAACAATGGTTTCTATTTATCACTATTAATAAAAGAAAGTTGAATTTTCCGTGACAAGTTTGTTATTGAGGTTAAGTGTTTTTAAATAGCCTTGCATAATCATGCGGCAGTAATACGCCTAATTTTATCTCTACGGTATAATTATATGTATTATACTAGTATTTATGTAGAAAGAGATTTGGGAGTGTTACAATTTTGCTATTTTTGTCCTGAAGAGTGTTCTTATTAAGATTAGATTTACCCCTTTATTCTTTCCGTCCTTTTTCTTATTTCTCTTTCTATTCGCTACCAAATTCCAAGGCCCATACTGCTCCTCTTTCATGCCTTTTTCTTTTAGAGAAACATCTTCCTGTTCATTCTGAGTTCTGGTATTTTGGAGCTCCGGACTAGTAGCTACATAACTAAATTCAGGTGGATTTTCTGAGGAATATTGTGCGTGTTCTGATTCTGCTTTCCTACATGAAGCGTTCTCTGCAATTTTATTTCCTTCCCCCCATTCACAATGTTCTCTAGTGTGACCTATTCTACCACAATCAAAGCACATATTGTGAAATTTTTCTTACTCAATTCTTTGCTAAGCCCTTCCAACCCAAACCGTCGCGACTAAGGCTTGATCAAATTAATTTCAATGCATACTCTAGCATAGCTGCATCTATTAACTCTATCGGTTGAGTAATCCACCATAATTGGTTTACCCCCCCCTTTCACTAGAGAGCCTCTTTTTCATAGTACTCTACTGGGAGTTCCGGGAATCTAATCCATACAGAGTTATTTCGAAATCTTTGAGATGAAGGCATGAAATTGGTTTTCATTTGGAAATCATTAGATAATGATCCAAAATAAACCCCCCAGCCCCCGAATAAAGCTTTCTCTAGATCATCGAGAAGACTGAACCTTCGCGACTAAGGCTTGATCAAATTAATTTCAATGCATACTCTAGCAGAGCTGCATCTATTAACCCTATCGGTTGAGTAATCCACCGTAATTGGTTTATCCCCCCCCCTTTCGTTAGAGAGCCTCTTTTTCATAGTACTCTACTGGGAGTTCCGGGAATCTAATCCATACAGAGATGTTTCGAAAGATTTGAGATGAAGGCCTGAAATTGGTTTTCATTTGGAAATCATTAGATAATGATCCAAAATAAACCCCTTGGCCCCTGAATAAAGCTTTCTCTAGATCATCGAGAAGAGTGAACCTAAAGAGGAAAACTCCATTTTCCATTTCTATGGTTTCCAAACCCCCCCCCCTTAGGATTCCACATTCTTTGAATTCTTTGTGTCATGAACTCAGTTTTAATTTTTAATCTAAGCACTTGCCCATGAGCGTTAATTCCCATGGTTCTCTCAGCCCTTTAATTTTTGTGAGGGGGAATTGTACTACCTTTGGGATATCTGAGATATCCTCCTCCTCATCATCCCATTCTTGGGAATTTATGACAATTTTCCTAGCTTCAGTAAACCATTGAGAGGATTTAACAACTGCTTCATTAAAGGAACCAAACACTCTACCAGGAAGGTAGTGGGAGTTGCCATCATGCCCTACTTTACTCTGTTCCACTTGCGGTTGTTCTATATCCATGTCAGTTATTTGCAGCTCCTCCACCCAAGGCATGGTAGTATGAAGTTGCTTGTCTTCTATGCCCTTCTCCTCTGACTTACTCATGTTATCAAGCCTTTCCATTGATTTCTCTCTTAGATCAAGCTCTTGAGAGGAAAGAGAGTTAGAATCAGCTGGACTTTACATAATCAAAAGAAAAAACTCAAGACTCCTTAAGAAACTAAGGAGAAGAAGAAACTAAACTCACTCTCAGTAGGAGGAGCCTCCCGGAGCTCCGATCACTTACGTGATGGCACTACAAGAAATAGGCTTATTTTCGACGGACTTCTTCCGACGGGCAAGATAATCCATCGGAAATTTCCGACGGATTTTCTACGGAATTAAAATTTGTTGGAAAATATGGGCTTTCCGACGAAATTTTCCGTCGGAATATTAATTTTCCGGCGGAATTAAAATCCATCGGAATTTTCCGACGGAATATTCCCTCGGAAAATTAATATTCCGACGGAATATTCCGTCAGAATTTTTTTAAATAATAAAAAAATAAAAAACCTAAACCCACCCCCATCTCTCCGCCTCTCTTCTCCTATTTTTTTCTTTCTTACAGCAACCCACCTCTCTTCTTCTCTTTCTCTCTCCTCTCATTCTCCTTCTCTCTCCTCTCATTCTCCTTCTCCTCTCATTCTCCTTCTCTCCTCTTCTTCCTCATTCCTTTCTCCTTCTCCTCTTTCTCCTTCTCCTCTTTCTATTCATCAACATCAACAATCGCAACAATAACAACCGGAACAACAATAACAATCGCAACAACAACCGCAACAACAACAACCGCAACAGCCACCTCCGCTCAACAACAACAACCACCGCCGCTCAACAACACCTACAAGGTCGGAAATATATGTAGATCTAGGTTTATTTTTTAGAAATTTATGATTATAATGATTTTTATGATGAAATTGTAATATAAGTTTTTAAATTTTGTAATTTAAGTTTGTAATTTTGCGGATTTTCGGACAATATAATATATAAATTGTTTATTTCGATTTTTGTGGTTTTTGTTTCGATTTGGTGGTCTCGATTTTGTTTGATTGGTTTTTGTGGTTTCGATTATTTGGTTTATTTCGGTTTTTTTTAAGATTTTGGTTTTGATTTTGTGGTTTTTGTTGGTTGTGGGGGTGGAGATATGGTGGTTGTGGGGGTGGCGAGGTGGAGATAGGGTGGGTGTGGGTGGTGTAAGGTTCGTGGTGTGTGGGTTATTTGGTGGTTCTGGGTTGGGTGGATCTGGGCAGGGTGGTTTGGGCAGGGTAGGGTGGGGTGGTCTGGGTGGGTGGATCTGGGCAGGGTAAGGTGGGGTGGTCTGGGTGGTGGGTCTAAGCAGGGTGACGTGGGGTGGTCTAGGGAGGGTGGTCTGGGCAGGGTGGCGTGGGGTGTTCTGGGCAGGGTAGGGTGGCGTGGGGTATTCTGGGCAGGGTAGGGTGGTTGGGGTGGTGGTGGTTTTTTTTTTATTTTTTTTATTGCTATTTCCGACGGAATTTCCGTCGGAAGTTTCCGACGGATTTGTATTCCGTCGGAAATTTCCGACGGACTTTCCGGTGGCCGGAACTGTTCTTCCTACGAGGAAATTCCGTCAGAAAACACTGTTCCGACGGAATTTCTGACGGAAACAACCATTTTTCCGACAAAAGGTCTTCCGACAACACGTTCCGACGGAATTCCGTCGGAAACAGTGTTTTCCGACGGAATTCACGGTGTTTCCGACGGAATTTTTCCGCCGGAAATGGCCTGTTTTCTAGTAGTGTGGGTTAGTCTTCGATGGCTAAACTTATAGAGAAAGAAAAAGTCTTATAAGCCTTATTTGCTTATCATCTTGTTTAATGATTGATTTTATGCATGCTAATATGATTGATCTAATTTATGCTAAGATAATGACAATTTTTGTAATATATATGGGCAACCTTAAATACTATTAAAGTAACTTTAATCCATTTTACAATAAGTTACTCCCTTCGTTTTTTTAAATGCCCCATTACGAGTTTTGACACTATTCATTAGACTTATTTTTACCTATATTGTGAATTATATATATATATATATATATATATATATATATATATATATATATATATATATATATATATAGCCTTGTGGGTACTTATTGGAATCGTCTCATATAATAGATTATAAATATTTAATTGTTATAATTCATAGTTATTGATAAATGTTATTGGTCAAAATTTTGCATTAACATATACTGTCACGTCACTAAGAGGGACTTAAAAAAAAATAGATAATCAAGAATTTGTGTTATGTTTATCAAGGTGAGAAAATAGGAATTCCTCAAAAAATGGATAACATATTACTTTTAAAAATGGATAAAGTAATAGGAAACCCCATCTTATAAAAAGAAAATAAATAAAATAATTTATATCCAAATCTAGGGTACTGGACACATGACACGGCGAAGACCGACCCACCCAGCAAACCCTAGTCAAGCTCTAATTCTCCAAACTATCTCATTCTCTCTCCTCTTTCACTTTCTGGATCTTATTTCATTTCATACTTATTACAGCTGTTGATGTGAATGTGACATTCCATTTTTCAAACTATTTACAAACACCAACATTGTTGTTTTTCTATGATCATCACTTCACCATCCTTTAATGGCTTCCGTTTGTGTAAATAATATCCCCACTTCTTCTTACTCAACCTACTCTTGGTTAACCCCAAAAATCTCAAATTCAAATTTAAATTCTAATTCATCTTCTTCAGATAATAAACATAAATCTGACCTTGATTCTTCCATCTTCGATGCCGGAGATTTCGAGTTTCGTCTTGGTGATAACCTCACTATGCTCCCCGCCGACGAGTTATTTTCCGACGGTAAGCTCGTCCCGTCGCAATTTTCCACGCCAAAGAAAGCTCCACCGTCGGTAAATCCGCCGGAAGAGGAGGTGAAGTCGCCGGAGTTTGGAAAATCTAGTCGGAGTACAGCAAATGAAGATTCGTATTTATTCTCGCCGAAAGCTCCGAGGTGTTCGAGTAGGTGGAGGGAGTTTCTCGGGCTTAAGAAGCTTCAAGGTCAGCCTAAAACGACGTCGTCTTCGTCAACTAATAGCAAGTCCATCAGAAATTTTCTTAGTAGAAACTCAAAAACAAGCACTGACACTTCATCTTTAACCTTGCCATTGCTGAAGGACTCCTCATTTTCGTCGTCTTCTTCGATGGAATGTGAGCCTGTTTCTATTTGCTTGTCTCGAATTTCACTATCGTCTACCTCATCCGACCACGATCACGATGAACTCCCTCGACCATCTCTCACTGGTGAGAAGCCCAACATTCAGCCCACTAGATCTGGGCCGAAGCTTCAAAGTGTACGGCCCAGAGTGAACCCATGGGTAGGGAGAAGCCAAATGCGGAATGCCAAGATGAGCCGAGGAGTGTCAGTGGATAGTCCAAGAATGAATTCGTCAGGAAGAGTAGTATTTCAGAGTTTAGAGAGAAGTTCAAGCAGTCCAAGTAGTTTTAATGGCGGACCAAGACATAATAGTTATAAAAACAGAGGAATAATGGAGAGATCGTATTCTGGTAATGTTCATGTTAGGATTACTCCTGTTCTAAATGTGCCTGTTGTTTGCTCTCTTCGTGGATCTTCCAAGTCCGGTGTGTTCGGGTTTAGCCAATTGTTCTCTTCGTCTTCGCAGCCGCAAATGAAAGAGGGTATCAACACCAACAACAATGGTATAACTCATCTTAATTCCAGAAGCTTTCATCAAAAGAAAGAGGGTAACAACAACAACAACAATGGTAATAATAGCATTTCTAGAAACAAGAAGGTGAAGGAGAAACAGAATTCTTAAAGATGGAATGAAGGGTAAAACTGTAGAAATTAAACATCAAATTTCTAATTAATTTTACTGAGAAAATTAATTGTTTTACTAATTACTCGTAAATTAAGAAATAACCTTTTTTTTTTAATTTTATTTTGTTTTATTCTGGGTTTTTATTTAATGGAGGGGGAACGAGATGGTGGGACTTGAAACAGAGAAAAACAGATGATAACCCTTGTTAACCATATTTCACTGTTATTATTTTTTTATTTAATTTTTTTTAATTTTTTATTTTTTTTGCTTTTTTATTTTATTTTTATTTTTTTCCCACTTTTTTGGGTTTTTGTCATGAGGTGCGCCATTGTACTTGTTTCGTATCCTTAATGATAAGTATTTTTTTGTGGGGCGTCGCATTTGTATGATGTGCCATGCCAACTCTTTATGTTATTGTTATGTTAACGGAGTACAAGTTACAAATTGTACTTTTTATTCCAAAGTTGTTACGCGCACTCGTTATCTTTATTTGCTACATAGAACATATCCGTACACTTTTTTTGTTTCACAAACATTGCAACAAGGATGAAATTACGTATTTTAAAATATATTTTATATGCTTAATATCTATAATTATATAAAAGTAAAAATTATAAAATGTTGATATTGTAAAAGCATTTTACGAGACGAATCTAACAAGACGCTACATGACTATTTTTCGGGGTTTTTTGAATGTCCTGTGGGAGAGTTACAATTCCAAGACTGGATCCTTGCGCCTGTATCTGCAAAACAACGGAGACTTCGGATGGTAGGAGTTCCGCATCTGACGATCAAGTTAGAACGTGTTCGGATGTAAAAAGTACGGAATGTAAAGGGTATCAGACTCCTCTTAGAAGAGAAGTGATCATCTGGTTATCTCAGACAGCCTCGAAATATGAGGCTTAGCTATCAAGAAGTGCAATTAAAGCTGGAGTTAATGCTCAGCAATTAATGTACACGTGTTTTTTAATAATTTTTGAATGTCGTTCCCCAGGGGAACATCTCCCTTTTATAGGGTCTCGCAATGTGTGCCAGTCCGAGGTTTACGGAAAACATAGGCTTGACTGAGCTTTTTTGGTGTATGGTCCTTTGAAGGCTGCTTGTCCAAGTTGGCACTCTGTCTGCCACATGTCGTGCCCTAATTGGTCCACTTGGGACTCTTTACCGAGTGACACGTGGCAGACTCTGGTTGGTCCACGTGGATGACACGTGGCAGGGTTTCATTGGTCCACGTGGCAGGGTTAAATCCCCTAATCATTTGTCCCTCACAAGGGTGACGTGGCTTGCCACGTGGCGCCTGGGACAGGTGTCACATGCTGATTGGTTAACAATTTTTACCTTTTTTTTTTCTTTCAAGGTGACCCTTGAAATTACCCCCCTATAAAAGGAGCATGTCCCAATCATTTTTTGGATATTTCCAACAAAAGTTCAGACAACTCTTTGACTTAAGAACTTGTCATTTTTCGAGAAAGAACGACTGCCACTTACTACCAGACCGCGTGCTCTTACAACTGCCGAAGAGTTTTCAAGCACCTTTAACTTTACAGTCTAAAGGTAACCGCTTGTTTTTCTTTCGTGCTTTCTTTTTGTTTCTTTTACTTTTTGAAAATGGTGTCCCAAAAGCACATGGCACGGCCTAGGTTATTGATCAGCCAGCCGGTCACCGGGGATGGCTGAGTTTAGAACTATGAGTACCGATTGCCCCTTGATAAACCTCTATGTATCTGTGCAGGACACCATGGCCAGAATAAAAAAAACAACTAGGGTGGTGAACTCGGACGGCTCCTCCTTTAGGGCGCCTGTCAATGAACTGTTCGATGTGCTGCCTGGCGCCCTAAGTACCCCCAATGATTCCATTTTAGAAGAATCAGGGGAGGAAGTTCAAAGTGAGGACTCGGGCTCTGTTGGACAAGCCCCCCATGCGAGCCAAGTATTTCAAGCAAATTTTTTATTGACTCTAAAGAGAAGCACTCTCGGCTGGAGACAACGAGAGAATCCATTTCAGTGGAAATGGGAGTAGACTAGGCGGAGCCGTCAGCTACCCGCCGAGAGCAATATGCCGCCTACTATCATCATGTTCCCGCAGCCAGGCAGAAAATGATGGCGGACAAAATAGGGAGCTTCAGAGCTGACCATGTCATGGGGCATGGTTATATCTTATGTACGCCGGATGCCGAGGACATCGTAGTCTGGCAAGAGGGGTCCAGCTACGGGGACGAATGTTTTGGCTGCTATGAGGCGGCTATTAAGGCTGGCCTCAGATTTCCACTACATGCGGTTGTGGAGCGAATCTTGGACAGATACCAGCTGGGTGTCTGGCAACTGGCCCCAAATTCTTTGTTCAACATCTTAGGCTATGTTGCCGGCTGCGACTTGCACGAAGTAGACACCAGCTTTGAAGCATTTGCCCACATACACAACCTCAATCGAACCCCAAAAACAAGCGGGTTCGGCTGGTACACTTTGTGTAGCCATAAGGGCTATATGATGACTTTAGGGAAGGAGAACAAATGGAAAGACTGGAGAAAAACCTACTACATTGTCTCCAGCCCTGACAAAGTCAAAAATAAAAATAATAACAGGTGGAGCAGGCGGATTAGAATTGCCGCCTGTTCCTAGGAAAGCCAGGGAAGAGATCCTAGATAAAGGCCTTTTCAAGGTGGAATCCAAGCCATCCTTGACAGGCGCCCAAGGTGAACTTCTTTTCCATTTGTCTAAGTCAAAATTGATTTGTTGTCGCCTGTTTCTCACTCTGTGGTTTTTGTTGTAGGGCGACCCCAACAAACCCTCTCCTTACTCACAGCCGGATCTGAAGATTCGGAAACAGACGCCTGGTGACATGACAACTCCTTGTAGACCCAGGAAACATGTGGCCAGTAGGCCAAGGAGAAGCCATCCTCCCAATCAAGTCTCCAGCCGTCCCTGAGGTCAGCCGACCTCATAAGGAGAAGGAAGTAGCGGCTGAAGGTATCAAAAATTTTAATCCTTTGCAATACTCCTGTAGGGTCATGTTCAATCAGCAGTCGTCTAGTACCTCTGAAAATAGTCGGTCTATTGGCCGAGTTTACACCAAGTACTTAAAAAATGTTGATTGTGCAGATATCCCTCAGAGGCCAGATTTTCAACAGCTGGCCAAGACCATGCTGAGAGCCGTCTCCCTTGAAGACAGGGAGTCGGTCAGGGGAGTTGGCACCCTCAACTTGGATGCAATCCTCGCCCTTTTAGCTGAGGTATCCTTGTAATTTTTACTTCCCCCCCCCCCCTTTTTTTCCTACACAACTCTTAGGGCCGCCTGTTACTAATGTTCTCTTTTGCCGAACATAGTTTATGCTGCGAGTGCACGGTCTTCGCAGGCCCATCAATGAGATGACCAAGGAGGTAAAAGCTGCGAATGCTCGCTTCGCCTCTTCTCATGATAAGGTCATGTTTCAGATTGCTCAAAATGAAATATTGACAATTGACATACTATATTCACAGGCGACCGCCAACCTGTAGGTCAAGGCTGACTTGGACGCTGCGATGAAGCGGGTCTCTGAGCTGGAACAACAGGTCAAGGACCTTAAGGCCAAGCTTGAGCCTCTTAAAGAGGCGGAGAGGGAAGCAGACGACCTTCGTACTCATGTGGACAAACTGAAACAACAGTTGGCTAACCAGGAAGTCCATCTTGCCAGAAAATACACTTCTAGAACCGAGGAAGAAAAGCAGGCCTTGGTCAAAGACATGATGGACGACTGCAAAATCATCATGGAGATGACTTAGGTGGCTCTTTTCCCGGACGCCAACTATGAGGGCTGGAAGAATCAGTTTTCCGCCTCCACTCAAGAGTACAATGACAAAATCATGGGCCAAGCTCAAGATGGAGAAGAGAAGGAGGGCGAGTCATCTGATTTCGCATCCGGGAGGTCGGACCAGGAGGAGAAGCAGGATGTTGAAAAAGAGCAGCAGCCGACTGGTGAACAAAAGGATGCGGCTGCTGATGTTGAACAGCCCCCTCCTGCTGCTTAAGCCTTTCTTTTTTTATTCTAACTTTCTTCGGCCAGCGTGCCGTATGTTCTGTTTGTATCTTTACCGACCGAGGGGTCGGGTTTATTGATAAATTTAACTCTCTTTTTTTCGATCATCTGGTCGACTGTTTATATGAATCATCCGGAAATTTTGGCCTGCTTCTCCAATTTGCACTTATGCAAAATTTTTCATGAATGCTTATTTCATTAATCCGATTGTTCTTGCCCTTGGGCGACTGTTCGCCTGGTTTTCAAAGGTGAATTGATTGCCTTGGGAATATTTGATACTTTCAAGAGTATGACTAATTTCCAAGTTAATCAATCACTATGGTTATTACCACCAAACCAGGCGGTCAGTCGGCCAAAGCTCAGGCGAACATACAACATTATCCGGCTCTCGCCCTTAATATAGTTATTTAGACGAACCACGCTTAGCTACTAAGTTTTGTACTTAGTTTATTTTATTGATTGTAATTGGCCGTTTGTATGGTACCTATACAGAAACAGGCGTCAAACGGGATGTTTAACCAAAGTAGTAACCACTTGTTGGGTTACAGGCGGTAGCTTTAATTGTTTCTCTAACCTAGATAGGAATAGTGGCCGAATGCTCTCTCTTTATCAAAAGGACAAGAAGATTTGTTTGCATCGTTTAGGTTCCATTTTAGGTTATTTAGGTCGAGCGACTATGAGTTAATCTTTGAGTTGGTCAATCTTTGTCACTTTGTTTTGAGTGAATAGAAGAAGCATATGGAAAAAGGCCGCATGTGATTTCTTCGCATGTCTTGCTGCTAAGTGTTAGACTTGGCTTATTTTTGCAATTTTAGCTGCTAGGTATTGGACTTAGCTTGTATCCTCAAATTTAACCGATTGTGTTGCCCCTAAGCAACAACAGTCGGTATCCGACTCAGATATTATAGATTACCGCATGTTTTAGAGCAATCGGTAGTCTTTGTTATCCTTGCCTCATTTGATCAGTTCACAGAGCAACGTGCCAACCAAATGGGAGATGCTCTCTGCGATGAATTCACCCAAATGGATGTCGCCGGACGCCTGCTCATGTTGGGAAAGACGTATTGTTTAAATTTTATATCATCTGGCCATTGGCCTCAATAGGTTGTTACAAAGAACAACTCATAGCTGCTAAGTTTGTTAGACTTTTCTTATATCTACTCATGTTGGAGTAGACTTATTTTTAATATATTAAAGATCATTCGGCCATAGGCCTTATTTAGATCATCCGGCCATAGGCCTCATTAGGTTGTTCTAAAAGGAAGAGCACATAGCCACTAAGTTTTTTAGACTTAGCTTCAATTTTCTTATGTTGGAGCAGTAATTTGAAATATTAAATAAGGCCGCCTGTACATTATACAGACGGTACCATGAGAGAAAGTAAATAACACATCTTTCATTGATACTTAAGTACAAAATAAGATTACAAGTCTCAGAAGTAATACTTTTTCAAGTTGTCTACGTTCCAAGTTTTGGCTAGTTGCCTGCCGTCTGGTGTTTCCAGGTGGTAGGTGCCGCTTCTTACTTCTTCATAGAT